ATTTGGAAAGTGGAAGCTGGTTATTAAATGTTGATCAGTTCAGAGATGCAGGATTATAATGTCAGTTTTGGCTAGGAAGTATACATGTGTGGATTGGTAATTCTGCTCCTCTATTTAAAGAAGCCACATATCCCTGCGTTTAGTGAACTGAAACTAGATAACTGCAGAGTTGGCATGGCAGAAGCTGCTACACAGAGAGTAATCTGATCTAATTCAACAGACCCTGCTAGAGTCCTCTTCTTCCACAGAAAGTTACTGTACATTTGAATAATGAGGATTCTATGCCCCAATCATCACTAGAGACAAAGTTTCCAAAGACTGAAACTCAGTAACCTAGGGTATGAAAAATTAGTCCTCATCTTTGGTTAATAATTAGAGAAGTGATTTTTATTTTTTATTTTTATTTTATGTTTTGATTTGGGTTTCACTCTGTTGCCCAGGCTGGAGTGCAGCACCATCACAGCTCACCACAGCCTTAACCTCCTGGGCTTAGGCAATCCTTCCTCCTCATCCTCCCAAAAAGCTGGGACTACAGGTGCCCACCTCTGTGCCCAGCTAATTTTTTAAATTCTTCTAGAGTTGAGGTCTCGCTATGTTACCCAGGCTGGTCTTGAACTCCTGGGCTCAGTCTTCCCACCTCAGCCTCCCAAATTGCTGAGATTACCGGCCACCTCTGATTTAAATTGTCCCCAATAGCCGGGCATGGTGGCTCATGACTGTAATCCCGGCGCTTTGGGAGGCAGAAGACAGAGGATTGCCTGAGTCCAGGGTTTTGAGACCTGTCTGGCAACTTGGCGAGACCTTGTCTCTACAATAAGTCAAAAAATTAGCCAGGCGTGGTGGTACACACCTGTAGTTCCTGCCACTTGGAAGGCTGAAGTGGAAGAATCTCCTGAGCCCAGCAAGTTGAGGCTGCAGTGACTGTGAGCATGCCACTGCACTATAGCCTAGGCAACAGAGTGCGAATCAAACTCAAAAAAAAAATAAATTTTTTAAAAATAAAATGTTCCCTTAACATATGCTGATTCCATTTGATTTTATTTTCTAGGTGAACTGTCTATTCTCTTTCATTGACCTGTCTAGTCCTATCCAACACTACACACTATTTTATTTATTTATTTATTTATTTATTTATTTATTTATTTATTAAATTAACTCTCACTGTGTCACCCGGGCTGGAGTGCAGTGGCATGCTCACTGCCACTGCAGCCTCAGCCTGTCCGCCTCCACCTTCCAAGTAGCTGGAATCACAGGTGTGTGCTACCACACCCGGCTAATTTTTTAATTTATTATAGAGACGAGGTCTCATCATGTTGCCCGGGTTGGTCTGCAACTCGTGGGCTCAGGCAATCCTCTCACCTCTGCCTCCCAAATTTCTGGAATTACGGGCATGAGCTACTATGCCCGGCACATTATTTTAATTACTATAGTTTTGTGGGTTTTAATATCTGGAAGGATATGTTTCCTCTTGTTACTCTTTTCAGAATTTAACTGGTGATTCTCATACTTCCCATAGGAACCTTAGAATCAGCTCATCTGTTTTTTAAAATCCTTATTAGGTTTTTAATAAAGCCTGTAGTTATAGGGATTGTGTTAAATTTACAGAATATTATATCTTTATAATATTAAGTTTTTCTATCCAAAAGTAGGGTATATGTTTCCACTTAGTATTTAAGAGTTCTTTTGTGACCCCCAGTAGCATTTGGAATTGTTTTTGTTTTTTTGAGTCAGAGTCTCTCTGTCACCCAGGCTGGAGTGGCACAATCATAGCTCACTGTAACCTTGAATTCCTGGACTCAAGCAACCCTCCTGCCTCAGCCTCCTGAGTAGCTAGGACTTCAGACTAGATTTCTTTTCTTTCTTATAGAGTTTACAACTTTCTTGCTAGGTTTCTTTCTTTTTTGTTGTGTGTCGGAGTCCTACTCTGTTGCCCAGACTGGAATGCAGTGGCACGCTCCTGACCACTGCAGCCTCGACCTACTGGGCTCAGGCAATCCTTTGACCTCAGCCTTCCAAGTGGCTGAAACTACAGACACAAACCACCTTGCCCAGGTAATTTTTAATTTTTTGTAGAAATGAGGTCTCACCATGTTGCCCAGACTGGTCTCGAACCCCTGGGCTCAGATAATCCTCTCGCCTCCGCCTCCCAAAGTGCTGGGATTACAGGCATGAACCACCATGCCTGGCCAACTTTCTTGCTATGTTTCTTCCCAAGTATTTAACTTTTTTTGTTGCTTTTGCAAGTGAGATTTTTCATTCTATTAGTTTTTCTGGTTTTTGTTAACATACAAGATAGTTATTACTTTTTGTATATTAATTGAACCAAGCAACTCTGCTTACATTTTTATTTTTTATAGTAGGTTTCCATTTTATTATTTTGGATTTATAGATATAAAATCATATCACTTGGAAATAGTGATAATTTGACTTCCTCTTTACCAAGTTTTATATTTCTTATTCCTTCCTTTTATAATTATGTTGTCTAATACCTCCACAATAATGTTAGGTAATAATGGTGTTAGTAAGTATCTTTGTCCTACTTCTGAGTTTAGAGGGAATGCTTCTAGTGTTATCCCAGTCAGCATGAATCATGGCTTACTTTATACATAGCATCTTTATTTCCCATTACTCAGCATTTCTTTAATCATTCTCTTCCCTGAATACAAAATGTTTGTTTTGTCCATTGTTAAAAACTTATATTCCTCTTCCATCACCTAATAGTCAAGCACCTTCAACTCTACGCCATCCAAAGAACATACAACTCAGGATATACAAGAGTGAACAACTAAGAGAGACCTGAACTACTAAACTGAAAGGATTAAAAGCTAGATTTTACCTGCTAATCGTCTTTGTAAGCAATCAGCATCTCCAAAAGTGGGAGCCTATGACTGAAATCAGAATTATTACTGGTTTGAGCAGTTTGGCATTTAATAGAAGTCTTGAAGCTTAGTTTTTCTGGGACTTCTTACAGAGAAATTTGTTTATTTATTTATTTACTTCATTAAGAAAAAACATTGCCGGGCTCGGTGGCTCAGCCTGTAATCCCACGCCTTTGGGAGGCTGAGGTGAGTGAATTGCCTGAGCCCGCGGTTTCTA